TCCGTCAACTTTGTTTATGCCTAACTTTTACCACCTTCCTATAGTATTAAATTATTGATGTCAATTTCTCAAAACTGATGATTATGTTTTTTGCATTGAAGTATATCAAATTATTTGTTTTACTTTATTTATTTTACTATATTGATTAAATTAATTAAAGTGAATCTCTTTTTATTTAATTTTACTCCTAGTATTAATGCCAATTGATGTTCTTTATTTGTTGTAGTATTTTTACTAAAAAGAAACCATAATGGAAAAAATAACTTAAATAAAGAGAAGCCAGGGTCCATAACCACAATTCAACTGGTGAATGTACTGATACATGCCTCTCTTTTGACTGCTGGCGAGAACAATTGTTTTCATGACACTTTAATATAAACACATTAATGTCTATATTGAAGTAGTTTGATGAAATAGAATGATGGAAGTAGTTTACTGATGTGGTCCTAGTAGTTGCATGATGTGGCAGTCTTAGGTTTTTTTTTTTGGTTTTTTTTGTATGTTTCTTTTGTGTAACATCAGCACATAGACCATGTGATGCGCTATACAAATCCCCAACCATTATTTATTTTCTGCATTGTTTGTTGATGACTTTAAAAAATAAGCCTGTATATACCTACAGTAATTTTAACATTCAGTGAAAAGTAAACGGATGTTTGACAGATTGCTTAATGGATTAATAAATTAATGATACACGGTCTCCCTTCAATTAAAGACCACTCCAATTAAAGACCGCTTTTCTGTGGTCCCAAATTAACAAATGTCTTTTATCTTTATTATTCTAATTAGAGACTAAAGCTGCTAATTACCATGGAAATCCTCGTCTCTAAAGTGGTCTTTAATTGAAGGGAGACCTGTATAATTAATGAATGAATGAATTAGTGAATGCATTGCGTATAATTTATGTAAATACATTGAGCAATTGAGTTGATTGAATGAATGAATTTACTATATACTATATTCCTATTATTATTTCAGAGCATTTATTCATTCCAGTGGTTTGGTTGTCTTTGACTGGCACTACCTAAGTATAAACTACTGTTTATATGAAACCATATTCTTTCTGATGGTGTTTACTTAGACAGCAAAACTTTAACAAGTAAGCAAAAATATTTTTAGATCCGTAGATAATGAAAATATTTATTTAGATGATGATGCGCAGTGGCAACGCCAGCATTTCTTATGGAGGGAGGGAGGGGAAGGTAAAATTTTAGGGGGCAATATGCTGGTGTGACATAATAAAGCAAAAGTTTCTAAACACTGAGCTTTATTTTACATGTAATACTCGTATATAAAAACTTTAGCAAATATTCTTCATTTCATGGTGCTTTGTTCCTGGTAAATATATCTTGTCCATTACTCAATAAATGCTCATAATTTTAGCAATATTTTAATTAGCTAACATTTTCCACACATTATAAAAAAAAATCATGACTAGTATTCTTTTGTCATTCACAATGGCCAGGGTCACATGATCTTCAAATTAATTTAAGAGGTAAAGTATATTGAGCGTTAAACTTCATTATCTCCATCGTTATCATCATCATCTTTTTTATAGATAGATTAATTATAAAAAAATTTTTTTTTAAATCCTTTTCAATTCTTCAGTATGTTTCTCATTGCTTTTACAGGTTAGCAGTTTAGAAAGAATTTTCTCTTGTGTCGCCTTCAGCCCATTATTCCAGTAGTCCCAAGTTGGAGGAAGTCATTTCCTTAAGATCTGCGGGGGAGGGGAGTCAAAAGGTGAGGAGGGCAGGGATTGACCCAACATGGTTGGGCTAGACTTGGGGTTTTGTGATTGTAGCGCCTCTGAATGACCGGAAGTGGCCCTCTCACACTTAAATTTGAATATAATTTTAAAATTCTACTACATGTTTTCATAATTTTGAAATATTTAGGGGGCCTGGGCGGGCTTCCTCCTCCTTTGAATCCGCCACTGATGGTTAATGAGTTTTTTAACACATTTCATCTTATTTTTCTGCAGATAGTGCCACTGACTTTCATGGGGAAATTGATAATTAGTGAAAACATGCAAAATTATGAATTTGCTGAAATGAGTTAATTTCCATGAGATTCTTGCTTGCTTGCGGGAGTGTGGGACACTGTCCTGATTTTCCTGACACTTCGCGAGTTCTGTGAGACTTGGGACTTCTGTTATTCACTCTTGAAATGTTGCTAACCTGTCTTTTTGTATTTCATTTTGTTTTCATTTATAAGTTTTTTTACAAGGATGTGTTGAATGTTTTTTTATAGGTGGATGTGATGAATTTTAACAATAAATTATAAAAACAAATAAGAATGCTACTTGTCTTGCGACTTTGCGCATGATACAAATTCTACACCATTTGACTTGATCCATTGCTATAAATGTTAACTTGCGATGTTTTTTCTTAAATTTTAAATATTGATAAATGACTTAAAAAATTCGCAGGTGTGACAGTTTTGTTCTAAAAACCCGTCCACTGGGGTGGGAAGTGTCCAGGGCATGCCCGAAATTTTTTTTTCTCTAAATACTTGGAAATGCATTGTTTGCTACTTTAGGGTTGTATTTTTACAACTGAAAATCTGTTTGGAATCCACATTTTTTCATGAGAATGCCTATTTCTGCCGTCACCGATTGAACCTAGAGACTCTCGTACTTTTGGCCTATGCCGGCATGAGGCGCCAGCGTTCCAGCTGGCAGTATGTTCTTGATCCTATTGAAGTAGCTAATTTATCTGATCTGATAGAAAAACTAGTAAGAGAAATTTTTGACTGAAAATATTAATATCAAACATTTTATATTTGAGTTGAGCTCTTTGTTAAAGATCCATGCGGTCAATTTTTTTTTAAATACAATGTTAAGGCCCTTCCTACCTGGGGGCCCTTGCATTCCATCCCAATCAGGAATCGAGCATGACGCCACTGCTTGACTGTCTTTAAGTCTCGGCTAATCTTTTCTCTTTATTTTCTTTTCTTTTAGTTTTTTATTCTTCCTTTCTTTTTGTACACTTGGGCTGTGGTTTCTCAGCGCATGGATGATTTTTTATCTTTACAACCACTACCATTACCTATAAATTCTTGTGGCAATTTTTTTAACAAGAGTTATTGGTGGTTATCATTTGTTGTACACTATTTGTATGAAATAGACAATTGGAGATAAAATATTAAACATTTGAAATCTAATTCTACATAATTTTAATTCAAATAGAACCTGGTACATTATGATAATGGTACTGTACTTAAAATAACAACTAGACTGTGTGTATTATCTAAATATTTCAGCTTATCATTACATATTACCATTTAAACACCACTATTTTAAAAACCACAACCGTCACTGAATATTTTTATTTATTTATTTATTTATTTTTTTTTTTATTTTTTTTTTATTTATTTATTTAGGCACACAATACATGTGCCAAGGATTGTCAATAGCGAAAATATCACTGTCCTACTTGTAGGTGACAATCCCTTACACACACACACACACGATGCTTTACACAAACTAAATCTCAATATGAGATTTAGGGAGTGGAATTGTTTTGGTCGTGAGAAAAAGTCCTGCAACTGGCAAGAATTGAACCCAGGACCCTGGGATTGGAAGGCAAGCATCTTAACCACCAAGCTATTCAACTCCACTATTGTCTTATAAAGTAAATTAAAATGGGGTTAGCTATATAGATAACATTAATATCATACTGCTACTTCTAATTCACAATGTCCAAACATCAGACTTGTATGCATATAATTGTGTGATGTTATTGTAACCATATAGGCATGTCGCATGTTTTCTGTGAAATAAAATTTGATAGTCTACTTGAGGCTTATAGTTTGATGTAACATTAAGTTTGTGTTAACAGTAGGTTACTGTGTACCTGTAAGTAGGGATACATTTAATAAACATACATTGCATCTACTGTAACTACAATTATTTCTAAGTATTGGTATTGTGTACTTTAACAAAATTTGCTTTGAGGTATTTCATATATTATACCATATCGCAATCGCTTTTTTTTTTTTTTTTTAAATATTTGCTTCTCACCACATCTGATTTTAAATGATTGCCCAAATGCAAATCTGTATTAAATGGAGGTTACTGTAAGTATTTTTAAAGTATTCTTTTTTTTATTTTTCCCCTTTATTGTGAATATGAACATAAAACAAAGGCAACAAGAAACATCATATTCAAAGGTTAAAAAACACAATAAAGTACCACAATTGTCAACTTTGTGGTCCTTACAATTCCATTATTAATAACCAAACCTAAACATTATATACGAAGCATGTGTCTGCTTACACTAATAAACACTATAAAATTTGAATTTGAAACTACAATTTGCAATTGAATAGCTTTTATGATCCTACAAAAACAGCAATTACAATGTTCACAATGCAAACATAATCACATGATGGTTTATAACTAAGTTTCCTATGAGTATTAGGGAGTGGACTTAATTTTGATCCTAATAATAAATCCTATGGCATTGAGAGGATTTGAGCCAAAACTGAAAGTTGTATGCAGAAGTACTAACACCCCTACTTAAATTAACTGAATAATATACAATGTTGACTAAATATTACTTTTTCTTTTATATGCTTTTTATACAAATATGTATAGTCATATCAATATAAAGTAATTAATCATCACTTATAATCATCAATTATATTCTTGAAATTATAATTATTTATATAAGAAAATATTCAAATTTAAGATTTACATATTTTACAAAAATGGGTAATTGCAGACAACTATGAAGAAGATAGTATGTTTGTATCCTAAATGAGCTATTTATATTTTTTAGAAATTTTCAAATTTGTACAGTATATACAAGTTTCAAGACTATATTATAACAAAATTGCTTTATTTATTTTTATATATTCTTTCTTTATACTGAATATACACTTTCAATACATAGTACTAACCAGTGTACAGCTGTCTCTTATACACATCTAGATGTGTATAAGAGACAGTATATATATATATATATACATACACATACATATATGATATATACATATCAGCTTGATTGCTGATAATTAATTTCTATTTTATTAAGTGCAAATATATACATATTGTCAGCAGTTCTGGTTGTCAAACAAATTAGGTGTTAGTTGTTGTTTACACACTGAATGGTAATGTAGATCAATAATTTTGTTTACCATAGAACATATTTTTTATTTAGATTAAATTAACTTACTAAAGTTATTTATATTTATTATAGTAATTATTCAAAGCAATATTTAGGTTCAATTATCTTACTAAGTTATTTACAGTTGTTATAGTAACTATTCAAAGCAATATTTAAGTTAAATTTACTTAATATTTACAATTATATTAGCAAAACAATTAGGTCAAATTAACTAAGTTATTTACAGTTATTATAGTAACTATTCAAAGCAATATTTAAGTTAAATTTACTTAATATTTACAGTTATATTAGCAAAGCAATATTTAGGTCAAATTAGCTAAGTTATTTACAGTTATTATAGTAACTATTCAAAGCAATATTTAAGTTAAATTTACTTAATATTTACAGTTATATTAGCAAAGCAATATTTAGGTCAAATTAACTAAGTTATTTACAGTTATTATAGTAACTATTCAAAGCAATATTTAAGTTAAATTTACTTAATATTTACAGTTATATTAGCAAAGCAATTAGGTCAAATTAACTAAGTTATTTACAGTTATTATAGTAACTATTCAAAGCAATATTTAAGTTAAATTTACTTACTAAGTTATTTACAGTTATTGCAGTAAGTATCAAAGCAATGTTTACGTCAAATCAACTTATTAAGTTATTTACAGTATGCAAAGCAGTATTTACATCAAATTAAAGTTATTTACAGTTTTGCTGTAGTTATACAAAGCAACCTTGGATTTAGATAAAGAATTTCTGCAAATTTAGATGCCCAGTAAATGTATGTTTACATAATCTGCTTTGTTGCAGCCACAATATTGTGAAATTTTAAGCAGGTGTAAACACACCTGCTGCTTTTTTTTATATTGTAACTTTATACAACAAAACTGATATTAAAACACACATCTAACAAGAAACTAGACGTGCACTAAGTATAAATATGTATTGTCCCATGCAAAATACCAAAAAATCATAAAAATCATATTTTTGAAATTAACTGGCCCATTTTGAAGTAACGTGAAGATTATCAGCATAGAAAACAGTATTTAAAAAATGTTTACCCATCATTTTACCATGAAAAATTATAGAAACACTTGCAGTCACTGAAAATCTTATATTACTTTTATTTTAAGGCCAAATTTTTTTAAATATTGTTGTATTTTTTTGTGGGGTGGGGGAAGGTTTTGACAAGAAATATTTTTAATGAACTAAAAGGGCTGGAACAGACCTATCTTGCTGGATGGTAGGTGATGCGACAGCGTTGTGCAATCATTTTGCTTTTCAATGTACATTTAAAAATGGTCTTTGTTGTATTTTTGTGTATTTTCTACATTTTAAGCATAAACACGTTTATGGTAAAAAAAAAATCCCTACCGACCTACCAATTTTCAGGATTTTTCCAAAATGTGGCCAGCGAAATCTGGGTATTTTTAGCAAGTTAATTTCAAAATTATTTTTTATGATTTTTTTTAGTGATACTCAAGGGACACTACATCTTTAAATACATACAAAGAGTATGAATGTCACTACAAAAATTGACAAGGCTGTTTTGTTCCACCTTTCACTTTTAAGCATCATCAGGAATATTCAGTTTATACACAGAGACTCTCACTGTGCAAGTCGCTTGTGTCCTTGGCCAAGGCACTTTATCTATGGTTGTCTCTCTTCACCCAGGAGTACAAGTGGGTACCTGGTAGGTTCAAACACAACATTATGGGTCATAAATGTTGTGTTCTATGTGCTTGATCCAGTGACCGGGGGTAATAATGTAAAGCGCATAGAGGTTAGTCTACAATATGCGCTATATAAGTCGACAATTATTATTATTATTACTACAAATTACCAGAAATCCTAATTAATATGCATTTTGTTTAAAGACAAAGAGTAAGGAATGTAGATTATTTGAAATTTATACTTTTATACTGCACTGATTGGGCCACCCTGGTTAAATAATTGTGAATAAATAAAATAAAGCATGTTATCAGAATGAGAACCAGTGTACAGAGATTAAATAAAATAATCAGTTACCTTATTAGAGAAACTAGATTTCTGGTAAAATATATATGGTTTGTATTATTTATTATTCCTGATGATGCTTAAAAAGAGGGAAGTGTAGAAAATATAGCCTTGTCTGTTTTGGGAATGACACTCATACTACATATGAAAAGGTCGTACAAGGTCCCGGCCACCCTAAATTGAGCTCCTCATTGGAAACCAAATACTAAAGACTCCTTAGATGAAAGAATCGCCAAGAATTCATCTCTAAATTCCCTAAAGGTGGAATAAGTTGTTGGAACATTCAACAAATTGCCACATGTGTGAGCCCTAACTGCTCTTGACAGACCATTTTCTGCATTGAAACAGATATTAATTCGTTCAAATGGCAGGCTAGTACTTGATGTACAGAATACCAGAAATCGTTCTGCCATAACTCGGTTATTGAAATAAGATCCAATGAATCTATAGAGGAACCCTTTGGCTTCTTCCTCTGCTTGATTTTTGGGAGCACACTCTAATTTTAGTAGAATTGCTGCAGCTGTAGGAGTAGTGTTTTCTACCTGTTTTCGTGCCTCAACCATGTCATATAATGGGACACCATCAGTGGACATGCAGATTTGGAACTCTTCAATCACTTCTCTGCATGATGGTTTCTCAATTAGGACAAAGTGGGCTAAATCAAGAAGAATTTCTTGCCAATTTCCTTCATCTATGTTTCTTGGTTCTAAATTAGCAGCTCTTCTTTCCATGTTAATGTCTCTGAATAGCATATTCCTATCATTCAAAGACATATTTTGTAAACCATTGTTGGCTGCTTCTAGAAATATTGCTTTATTGTTATATAATACACAATTAATGAAAGATTTCATTAAATAATCTTTTCCATACTCCCTTATATTGCATCTGGTTATTAAGGCAATAATGAATGCTGTACACAGAAAGGAAGGAAACTGTCCGGTGAGCTTAAATCCGTGGTACATAACTCGAGCCAATATTTTGGATTTAATACCAGATGTTTCTGGAGTGAGTTGTTTGTCTCCTCCGTATTGTGGATGTCGTCCTTGCTCATGAAAGAGTGTGAATGCCTCTTTCGTCAATCCACAACCCTCACCAGGCTCATTGATGAACTCATGTTCCATGTCAAACAACAAAAAACTGATGTCTTTTCCATAGAAGTTTTGGAATGCTTCGTAAACATTTTCTCTCTTCAAGACCATCTTGATTTTCTGAATGAGATATGAAATTACAGTACTAATGTTTAATATTAGCAAAAGAGGAAAAGAAAATTAAGGTAATAAGGATCCAAGAAAAAAAATACATTAAAAAAATTAAATAGGTGAAAGAAACTTAGAATTACTGTATTTTTCAAATGATCCATAACTTTTTTCATTTTCATTTCATTTACTGTAATTTTGTATCACAGAACAGGACCATGTGTAAAACAGGTTGTTACATCCTCCTGATATGGTATCCTGTATAAACATGTTCACTAAATAAATAAATAATAAATAAAGTTTTCATAAATCAAATTTATAATATTTATATTGTAGCTTTCATTTAATTTTTTGAATAATTTATCTCAATTTATTGCATTTTCTGCTGTAAAAGTACATCAAAATCTTTACATTTTGCACTGTATAAATTCACAATTATTATTATTTCATATGTTTGGTATTGGTGCTCTTATTTTTGGGAGATGCAAAGCCAACTCTTCCTAATTCAAGAAACATTGATAAAACCATAATACCTCAAGAAATCTTCAAGCAACATAATAAAATGCAGTCTTATTAATAAAGCAATAACAACTAAGACATTAATTAATAACAAACTTAGTACAATAAGAATTTACATACAAAGCTCAAACACTTCCCTGAAATGAGAGTGGTTATTTAAAAGAATAAAAAGATAAGGGCATAATAATACCTTTCCTTCTAGTAAGTACAGTTCATAGAAAGGTGAACTACTTGTCGATATTAGTCCTTCCTCAATATCAGAAGTAAAACCAAATATCTGTTATCGCAGCAAAATATAAAGAAAAAGATGATGCAAGTTTTAGAATTGTTTGCATTGTTCTTCCCAGGATAAAGGCCAAGCATCATAATAATTATCATTGAGTTCTATCCGGATTATCTCATTTTCTTTGATAAAAAACTATTGTACAATGTCCATATATAGCCATAGTGTGCATATATACGGTCATGATGTGATGTCATCATGACCACAAAAATCTGTTGTATGTCCATATATAGTCTGATGTGCCTATATATGGTCATGATGTAATGTCATGACCACAAAAAACTGTTCTATGCACATATATAGTCTGATGTGCTGTCATCATGACCACAAAAAACTGTTGTTTGCCCAAATATAGACATGATGTGCCTATATATGGTCATGATGTGATGTCATGACCACAAAAAACTGTTGTATGCCCATATATAGTCATGTAGCATGGTTTCGTCAAATAAAATTTGATAGTCTGGACAGGTCTTTTTGTTTTTTGAATATTTATTTACAAAAATAATAATAAAATAGATAAAGAAATTTAAAAACAAACTTTAAATAAAGGAAGTTAGCAACTAAGTTCAAATGTAAAAAACCTCAATGCACTGTTATCTTGTAATAAGAATAAAGTACAAATTTAATTTAATAGCCATCCTCCGACCATTGGGAACATGTGTTTCATAAAATTACTTTGTGTTCATTTCATGAAAAGTCAATAAAGCAATTTTTACCTTTATTAGTATGTATAATATTTATCTTATATATTTATAAAATTGATAGTGTATACCCACCAGACTTGAATCTCATGGAAGAAACTTAATGCTCATTACATCTCTGAGCTTAAAGCTAAAACAAATAGGCTCTAAGAGTCCAATTTTATACTTTATTAAATTTCAAAACAAGCAGCAGTAAACTGATTTTTGTGTGACAGTGATCCTCCATTGAAATTGTTTCTTTTTCTTTTTAACCTTTTGTGGGTTTTAACTTTGGTCTGACACATTGTATATACACACAATCTGGCCGTGTTTTGTTTTTATTGTGACTTTTGCAAATAAGATATATTATAAAAGACCTCAAATGTCATAAATTTTTAGAAAATTTCAAGGGACTATTAAAACCAGCTAAGACTAAGTAGTTGGTAGAGCAACTGAAAAGTAATCTAAGGGTCTAGATTTTAAATTGAATATTTACATTATACATTTCATAAAGTTGATTGATTGATTGATTAATCATCAATCGATCGATCTAAATGTTGGAAGTTTTATAGTTGCATATAGATATACCTCATCGGGTTCAGGGTCAGTAAGTACATCAAAGCTATCAGTATCACTGATCTCTGAATCTGTAGTGGCATCTTCAAATTCAGACGTTTCTGTTGATGTTTCATTTGACCCGATTCCTGAATCATTCAGTCTGCAATTGCAAAAGAAACAATATTTAGCTTAAATTAAAATGATATTCATTCTTATAATAGTAAATGTAACTATCTTTTTAATAATGATAATGCCTTAATTAGAGAAATATGGTGGTGCCAAATTCTTTTAGTAACTGAAATTGCATATGCTAATCCAAGCATTCACAGCGTTGTAGAGCAGTCACACGACCGTCGGCTGACGATTCTAACTCAGTTGTCGGTGGTTCTCTGAACAGATCCTGGACGATGCCATGGCAACCCCAAAATACCAACTTTATGATGATATAAAATATCACATTTATTTTGTAAAGAAAGGCTAATTATTCAGGATTGTTTGGTCAGCAACCTGACATTCAGCAAGCTTAATTTTAATAGATGGGAGTCTGCAATTGGCTATTTGAGAACTGGTTGTATCAGGAAGCAAAATAAAGACCTAGAGCTAAATTAACGTTGCAACTCACTTTACATCATCAGTCTTCAGATCACCTTCTTTAGTGACAGATCTTCCCCCATTCAATCTAGGCGGTATGTACCCATCATTTGGTGGTGCTACTGGTGGTGGGTCATCATCACTGGGGTATGTTACTGGTTTGTCCTCCTCTGGTGGTAGTAGGTGGTGGTGGTTATTCATCATAATGCTCTGAATCACATCATCACTGCAGCTGGTGCTAATGTGTCTGGGCCCATGGGCCCAGACCTGCAAAGAAAACATTAATAAAATCCCAAAACACAGTATTATAGCTGATAATGCCGACCGAATTAACATACAAAAATGTATCTAAATTTAAGTCTCTTCCCACTGGGAAGCATTTTAAATAATGAACTGTTTTCCATGAAAGGATTACACTAAGTAATCCTCAATTCTTTAAAAAAAAAACAAATAAAACCTTGTATTCTCTGGGTTCTAAAACCAAAGGATAAATTAAAATTAAACTTTTCACATGTACGCAGATCCTTATGATTTAAAAAAAAAATTATTTTAATTGATGATAATGTAGAACTAAACTATAAGCTTAAAGACTATAGAAACAAATAATAATTTTGATGACACAAAACCATGAAACAGCCCACCATATACAGAAAAATTTAATTTTAAAATAGCAACCAATATTCAGGTTCACACTTCCGGAAAAAAGGTTAGGGGGAGAGACTACAGTAGTACTTGGGCACCTCCTAACTGTATATAGTTGTGCTACAATATATAAGGTTTATGGATTATGAGGGTATTGATTTTAAAGGCCTTAGAACCCCTATAATACAGATGATACGATACAAGTGTCTTTTCGACTTATATTATTATGTATGTAGAACCTGTCTCTTATACACATCTAGATGTGTATAAGAGACAGCCCCCACACACCAAAAAGGAAATCCTGGATACATTCCACATACAGCTTACGGTGATACTGTAAATGCTCAAATAAGGGCCGCTCTCAAGTAAGCGCCGCTCTCAAGTAAGTGCCGCTCTTGAATAAGCGCCGCACCAAAAACATGATTTTTTTTTGTTAAGCACCGCTCTTGAATAATCGCCGCAAGGCTTAATAGAGAGTGTATAATCTCCATCAGACAGTGTTACTTTAAACTCGTTCAAATCCAAGCTAAAGACCTTTCTTTTTCCTCAAGTTTTTCATTAATTTAACATGATAGACATTCTGTTTTTTTAATATACAGCGCATTGAGAGCTTGCCTACTTGCGCTATATAAGAATGAACTATTTTTATTCATAATATTACCCTGTGTGTAATGAAACAGGGTTTTAAATTCAGTGTATAGTTTTGAATAATGAATAAATAACAAAATGAAGACACAAGCATTTCTTATAAACATTTGTTTACGATGATAGGACCTATGATAGGCCAACTGAACTACGAGAAAACGTGAAATAGGTAACATGGAACCGGGCAAGAAAGCACCACATCAACATTTTTATAAGCGCCGCTATGAAATAAGTGCCGCAGTGAACCCGCCAAAAATGTTATAAGCGCGGCGGCATTCGAGCATTTACGTTATGCATCAATAAAAATATTGAATTGGAAAATGTAATAACATACTTCTTCAGGCTCAGAGTCACTTATGATTTCGATGCTCTCACTACTTCCACTGCTCTCAGAATGGTTGGAGGCATCTTCAAAATTATTTATGTCATCAGTTATAGGAATTTCCTTGCTGATACAAGTCATTGAATCTTCTCTGCCATTGTTGTCTGGTTTAGTAGAGATTATGGCGGATGCTATAGGATGGCTGTTGTCATTATTAGAAGGGGCCACAGCATCCACAGTTGCAACATCTTCAAAATTATTTATGTCATCAGTTATAGGAATTTCCTTGCTGTTACAAGTCATTGAATCTTCTCTGCCATTGTTGTCTGGTTTAGTAGAGATTATGGTGGATGCTATAGGATGGCTGTTGTCATTATTAGAAGGGGCCACAGCATCCATAGTTGCAACATCTTCAAAATTATTTATGTCATCAGTTATAGGAATTTCCTTGCTGTTACAAGTCATTGAATCTTCTCTGCCATTGTTGTCTGGTTTAGTAGAGAATATGGCAGATGATAAAGGATAGCTGTTGTCATTATTAGAAGGGGCCACAGTATCCATAGTTGCAACAGCATGCTCTTCAATCCTTGATAAGCCATAATTATCAGCAAATACATCTCCCTCTTTACCAGAAGACTTAAATGTTCCTGTTAATTTTACAGAATCAGATGCATCCATCCTACAATTTTAAAAAAGAGCTTAAATTGGGACTGGTATTTTAATTTCTTTTAAAATACAATTACTACAGTATAATCATACTATATCAAATAATAAAATTGCTATATATAATAATTTGATTACTACCATATTAACTATTATTATATATGTTTGTTCTATTGTTAAAGTTGGTTTATTCTGATTTGCATATCTTTTTCCCTCTTCATATTCACCTGAACTTGGGATAACACATTTTTTAATCATCATTTATTTCCATTTATTGTCATTTGCATCATAAAATAAAATTATTTTTGCTCTGAGGCACAATTATTATTATTATTATTATTATTATTATTATTATTATTATTGTCTTTTAAATATTAGTTAATACTGTGTAAAGTAAAGGCAGCTAATAGTAATTTACAGCAGACCTCAAACTAGTCACCACTATTACATATTCTAAAGAAATAGTAAGTATAAAAATGATATTAGTGAAATTAAATATTATATCTGTTATTCTATTTGCCTTTCTAATTTTGTCCTACTTACATATCAGCTGGACGTACGATATTTGAGACACCTCTTTTAATTGATGGGGAACCAGGCATACTTGGTTGGTGGTCCTGTGGTAGTGGTGGTGAGATACAATTAGGAGGTGCCACTGGTTCCTCTGACAGACTGACAGGAGGAATGGGGACTGGTTGGTTCATCATATTGCTCCTTGTGATCAACTGAAATGAAATATAAAATTATATATAAGACTTAAATTATTTCAAATATCTTTTGAATACCCTAATTCCGTACACAAACCTTTGTTATTACATTTTTTGTTTGATTTTATCCCAACCAAAGCCACGAAGGCACTTCTAAAAGAATATAAAAATAAATAAACTAAGCACAGGACTTATATAAATGTATTATTATATGTATATTATTAATAATAATTCTGTTTGTCAACGAGTTTGACCCTGCCAGCACTTGCACTTGGGTTACTAAATGTTTTTGTCATTTATGTAGAACTGTGTAACTTTTTTCTTTTTTCTTTTCGACTTATATTATTATGTATGTAGAACTGTGTAATTATTTTCTTTTTTCTTTTCGAATTATATTTTTATATATTTGCCGTTGGGTTTTGTGCATTTGGAGAACGTGTCGTGTTAGAGGTGCTTGCACCTGTTGATACGTTCTCTCACTGGAATTTCTATTTATATATATATTTTTGTACTGTTGCCAGTGTAAAGCCGAATATATAAATAAATAAAATATAATATAGGATATGTATTATGTGTGTTAGCTTTGATTCAATAAAATCACACACTGTTGATATACAGTATCTATACCAGGGAGTCCAGAAACATTAATTAATGAATAATTTGTTGTGAATTCATGTTGAGAATATCCTGAGGACAGGACGAAATATTCATGCTTGATAAAAATTGTGTTACTTGTATACCTCAACCGTGTGGTCTATTGCACATATCAATGTCTTTTTTACATATAGTACAATCCTTCCTTGGGACACCCTTATTAAGGGGACATTTTTCAGCCACAGAACTAGGGAAAGTATATTTATATACTTCGACCACCCCGAAATAATAATAATAATAATTACAAGATTGCAGCACATATCTACTGCATTAGAGCTTAAACTCGGTTTCCATAGATTCTCTCACCCTATAGTTGCTGACAGTTGTCGGGGCAGATTGAACCAGGTTCAACTTTGCCGATTTCGTTGCAGATTAATAGGAGCGCCTTTCTGATTGCGTTAGGGTAGCTAGCAACACACCATGATTCGTCTGCAACGCAATCAGCAAAGTTGAACCAGGTTCAACCTTCCCGAGGATGTCGGCAACTGCCACTGATAGGGTGAGCGATTCTATAAAAACAGCTTAAGGCGCTGACAATCAGAGCATGGCATTTGAGTAGCATTTCATAGCACCTAGATGTGACATAACTAAAATTGGATGTGGACTGGTCCCATCATGAAATGATTGGCCATCTATTAATGAGGTGCTGACACTGCTACTATGGTCATGATGACAGCACATCAGACTACATATGGGCATACAACAGTTTTTTGTGGTCATGATGACATCACATCATGATTATATATGGGCATACAAGTTTTTTGTGGTCATGATGACATCACATCATCACCATATATAGGCACATCAGACTATATATGGGCATACAACAGTTTTTTGTGGTCATGATGACATCACATCATGACCATATATAGGCACAACATGACTATATATAGGCATACAACAGTTTTTTATGGTTACATCACAATACGTCATGACCATATATAGACACATCATGTCTATATATATGGGCATACAACTGTTTTTGTTTTTGTTTTTTTTTTTTCAAATTAAATTTGATATAGTCTGGACAGACCTTTTTAATGGAATATATCTTCCCTGCCTACTTTTTCTTACCTCACAGGAGTAAAGTACATGTTGGTGATAAAGATGTTGGAACTTCGACCTCTGTAAACATAAAGATAAAATATATTATAATCATGTGAAGTTATAATTTTTGAAATAAATTGAATAAAAAAACTAATAAACTTACACATGCAAGCATGTAGTAAGTTTGATTGATTAATCACCATAATCATACATCATCTTTATTATGTATCGTCGTTGGTGTTTCCGATACCACTATGATCATGGCTGACATTGTCACCAGTTCCCAGAAGCTCACACTTAAATATTTTTATACGGGTAGGTGCTGCATTTACAGGGATATTTTTGAAAAATTGGTAGGACAAGTGTGGAAATTTATAGAAGAGTTTCAGCATGTATAGGGTATATTTGCGAGAACTTGGTAGCACAAGTGTGAGCAATACTACTGTAGGTAAAATTGGTCCGTCCCGTATCAAAGTAGCATAATTTTTCACACGATTTTAGCAAAGATTTTTTGCTAACCTACCGTTGATACATAGCCACGAACAGTAGGGATCGCAAACAGACAGAACCGCGGTCTTATTCCCATCGGGAACCAGTACAAGTTAAATTTGGTAGGTTACATGGCTGTAATAGTAGTTCAACCAACATCGGATTTTGGAAAATGTTAGTTCAAGTCCATAATAATTTTCAGTAGAATAGGTAGTGCAAGTGTCTTATGTCTTGGAGTGGATGTTTTTAAAGTTTTTTATTTAAAAAAATAGAGATTCTGGAATATTAGATATGTTCTTCCATCAAATTTGACACAAAAATACTTTGGAAAGTGATGGTTAGTACTGATCTCTAAAATTAGGCCAATCGAAGTGAAAAAAACACAAATTAAAAAAAAAAAACGTGATAACAAAGATTAAGGTATTGAATTTCTAACAAATGATGAATGCCTATGGTCTATTAATGAATGTGATTCCCCAAAGAACATAATATTTGACACAAATTTTAAAAACTCTACTGTTAATAATTGACCAACTTGCCTCACCGACATGTCACTGGTGAATGGTGGGATTTTTCGATGTGTAATTTTGGAAAATCCAGATCTCAAAGTGCGTATTTAAAGCCTGGTGATACAAAAATTTGTGTTATCTTTAAAAGGAACTAATAAATATATTGCCTCTGTTATACAGTACTACACTAGATTACATGTAAGTATTTTAAGGTAGGAAACACAGAGACGTAGGCAGGATTTTCAAATGGAGGAGCCGTCATGCGAGGTTCGTTACGGAGCGGGAGTGGTTCGGACTTGACTGTGTCCTCTCTACACCAAGGACCCCCAGTGGGGTCCAGGGGCTCAAGTCCCCCGGTGGGGTCCAGGCGGCAAGACCCTTGGGGAGGAAACACATTCTGGTCATTTTAGGACTGTTTTTTGAGGGTATAAAGTGAAAATTGCAATAGACATATCATAAATAATACAGTATTTGTAGGCCTAACAATAATTGTGAGGTCTCACCACAAAATGAGATGCATCGTTGGTGAAATCAATTTGAGATAATCCCAAAAATAGGTCAAAGTCAAAATTTTACACAATTTTGATTTTAATGTTTTTGAATAACTTGATATTTATATTTAATGATTATATACTTTTTAAGTGAATTTTCTTACTAAAACAGTGTTCTCTGTGCATATTCTGTAATTCTAGTCCTATTATTTGTACAGGTTTGTTTATCTTGGAGGCGATTTTCTCAAAATGTAGTTCTCTTACACATAATATTTAAATGCTCACATCTCTAGATCTACATATCCTAGTGAAGCCATTCAAAGACCAAATGAAAGCTTATAATGTGATCTACCCAAATATAATATAAACTCAATTTATGATAATCGAACCATGAGACTCATTTTGTGGTGAGGCCTCACAATTATAATAATAACAACTCAACAATAGTGGATCCAGGAATTCGAAAAAGAGGTGGCACAGATATAGGGTCAACACACTTAAGCACCACCATTGTTGGGGCCAGCTGAGGCGTGAAATTTTTTTTATGAAATAGTACCTCATATTACCATTTTATATACTGTATATTCAAAATAAATCACCAACAAATTTGAGACCATAAACAACATCTTATGGTGATTACCAGATTGAGGTTTTGGAATGTAGGTTAAAAGTTTAAAGTTTTATGTACTAGACATTCCCCAGAGACCTTAGGCAGGTTTCGGTGACAGATACCGCATTCCATAAAGTGGTTTTGTCTTGCTATATGGTTTGGTAGTCTTTTAAGGAGTATGGGGGTATTTTCTGTCATATAGTTCTAGCTTTAATATTTTTCAAAATAGAAAATCAATAAGTAGGGCACAACATCATATGGTTTCACTTGGATACGAGAAATTATAACAAACAGATGTCTGGAAAGTTAATTTTGCCTGTTTACAAAGTTACAAAATTCAGCGTCAAACACATACATCACCAAGATGATTAGAAAGGTGTGCTGCTTGCAAGCACAGGAATCAAAATAGAGAATCTTGAATTTTAGGCCTATGCTTATCAAATTTGACACCAAAATACATCGGGAAAGTGATGATTAGTACTGATATCTAAAATTAGGCATAGGCCAGTTGGAGTGAAAAAGCACGCCAATTTTTTGGTCTTCATCAAAATCATCATTTTTACAGTATTTTATTATTAATCATTTATTTTCAGCCTATTTTATATTTGTTTTGAACACTAAATATTTTTCTGTATAAACGCTGTTGTCATAATGCACAGGCTTACAACAAAACAGACAAAATATTAAAACGTGATAAGAAAGATAAGCTATTGAATGGCTAACAAACCATGAATAAGATAGACATACTCTACATACATATGTAGATATACATACTCCAAGTATCGAAATGCACGCCATCATTTTGGAATTCAATATTTCGACATTAATTATGTCATCATCAGGAAATGATGAATACCTATGGTCTATGAATGAATGTGATAGTTTCCAAAGACATAATATTTGACACAAATTAAAAAAAATCTGCTGTTAACCAACTTACCTCACCGACATCTCATTGGTGAATGGTGGGATTTTTTTGAGTAATGAGTAATTTTGGAAAATCCAGATTTCAATATGCCTATTTAAAGCCTTTGGTGATTTACAAAAATTTGTGTTATATATGATAGGATCTAATAAATAATATACTGCCTCTATATACAGCACCAGATTACATGTAAGTATTTTAAGGTAGGAAATTCAATAGCGAGCATATGAACATAAAGGCCTTATCCATAAAATGATAATTGGGACTTTTCCTCATGTGCAGTTTTATAAAAAGTAGAAACCACTACTGTCAAGAGGTGAGTTGGGTGGGGCCAGCCCGAGACAAGACAAAAGAAATTTTAAAATCAATAACGTTAATAAAGTAAACAATATTTTGATCTACTATAGTGTCTGATCATTTGAATTAGGAATCTATAGATGAACTGCCGGCCTCACATCCTCGCTTTTGGGCCCCCGGCAGCTACAGTACACTGAGCCCAAAAACTATATTATTGTTTAGCCTTGTCTTGTTTACAACCAAATCTTTTGTATTGTAATGTACTTTGTACTCTTAGAAAAAAGAAAACAAACATTGATACTGTGTATCATAAAACTATCTATACTTATTACTTGTCATGTATCTATTTTTGTATTTGTAAAATTTTTTCTATCAACAATAGCAAGTGACTCATTATTACATGGACTATTCAATGTGATGCTTGGGTATGGAGACAAAAAGTCTGGAGAATGCATGTGATTTAAACCCAGGCTCTTAGGCTATGTTCACACACACGGCGTAAGACTGGCGTAGCTTACGCCAGGCGTAAGCTAATTCACGGATTAAAATTCCAAAGTGTTCACACAAACGGCGTTCGCTATATTAACGCTGGTGTTAAACTAGTAGTAATATAGGGGAATAGTTTTAAATAATGTACGGGTTCTTAACTGTAGTAAAATTAACAGTGCATCAGTAAAACTTTTAAATCTGTGAATTGTTCAAAGTGAACTTATGATTATTGTATTTTAAATGAACAATTTTACTTTGATTTTTCAGCTAGCATTGTTGGTGTTGCAGGTTTTAATAGACAGTCTAAATAGGTTAAAATATCTTACAAAAAACAATCAACAAAGCATATACATTATAACTAATTAAAGTGCAATAGAAAAAGAACCCCTTTACCATTTCATTTATAGAGAGCACAGGAAAGAGACCAAAGTAGCTAATATATTGCAATCGTGATTGGTCAATCTCTTGAAATGAGGGAAAATCATTCAAG